TAAGAATACGTACGATTGTGTATAGATATGTGCATGATCAAGAGAGATAGAATGAAAAGAGGGCTGGCTGGTACTCTGCTGCTATTCCTTGTGCAGGCTAATGTCAGAGACCAGATGGCAGCACGAAATGAGTCAGGAAATTAAAGTTTCTTTTTTTATACTTTCTGTTTAACTAATTGCCAGCTCAGTTATGTTAATCCATGATTTTCTTCTGTCCAAAGGCTACTACAGGGCCTGAGATTCGAATGACATTGAGAATCGGAGAGTGCGACACTCTTGCTCCATTTCTGATCATTGACCGTGGCCTCATTGATGTTTGACGATGACGATTTTTGCCTTATTTTTGTAGGGGTAAGCTGTGACTCCTGCATGAAAGGAAATTTTCGGGGTCGCAGATATAAGTGCCTAGTGTGCTACGACTATGACCTGTGCGCCAGTTGCTACGAAGCGGGTGCTATTACGACTCGTCATCTTGCGGATCATCCCATGCAATGTATTCTCACGAGATCAGATTTTGGTAAGTGTTGGTGCTGGCTGAAACTTGATTATCTCCCTTTGCTCAATGGTCTCTCGACCATATTTTTTCATCTATATTTTGCTCTGTTAATACAAGTTCAAATTGCTTATATATCGATCGTTTAAAATTTTATTCTTACAATTTTTACCTGCCTTGCATATCCTGCAATCGAGTCTTTAATGTATTTAATATGTAAAACAAATTAAGTCATTTTATCTTCTTGGTCTTTGAATATTTTACTTTTTGGCAATTGTCCAATGTTTGCAAGTTTGTGCCATGGGCAGAGTTTTTCTGGCTTTTATCCATCTTTCTTATCTGATTTTATGTTACAAAGAGATTTGTTTTAGGAACAATAACCTTTTGTTATTCCATTTCTTTTATTAAATGCTACCGTACCTAACAATTAAATATACAAATTTGACTTTTTATTCAATAATGCACTTCTCCTTTGTCATTTTTCTGTCTTCTTAGTTTTATTTTTTAAACTTCAGAGTTTCCCAAAACATCAATTGCTTTTCTATTTATAAGCTTATGAATATAATACAAACATTGAAAAATGTATGTATCATTGTATTTCAGCCATTAGTATATTCTACAGATATTTGCGTAACTATTTTAAAAGTAATATTAACAACGATTACTCGTTTACATTTTATTGTCTTTTCTTACCCATTCGACGTTAAAATGAGTTATTTTTTCATCCATTTTTTTTGCTATTGACAGGCAATTTATTTATTTATTATTTGTTTAATTCTTTGCTAGAATTATATTATGGAGGGGAAGGAGTGAGCATTGAACAGCCTCAATCGTTGACTTGTCCGTACTGTACAAGAATGGGTTTTACAGAAACAACGCTGCAGGAGCATATTACTGTTGATCATGCCGATGCTTCGGTTGAAGTTGTAAGTAATCTCTAATCCTCTATACCTAGTATAAATCAATTTCTATATATTTAATAGATACTTCGATAAAACATCAGTTGTACCGATTCATCAAAATGTATTAATGTATAATAATATCAATGCAAATCAATAATTCATTATCCTTTTATTACACGCTACCTAATTTTTCTTGATGGATAAATAATGCAATTTAATACGTTACTGTTAAAATGTTATTTAATATATTACTTTACATACCTAATTATTGTACTTTACATATGAAATTATTATATTAAGGAAGTCTTGGATTCATTTGATTTGAAAGCATAATATTATTCTTATATTAGATAACATTTACTTTCCTATTTTAATATGATAATCTATTAGTCATAAACCATCTTTCATAAATATTTCTAGAGGTAATGTTATTTTAATTTTTAAAAATAATCATTTTAATGAAATTTTGTATTTTGCCATAAACCAAAATTCCGTATAATAAGAACAACTCTTATATAAATTATTATGAATAATACAATTTTATAAGTATATAACTTATAGTCAAATTTGAAAGTTTTCTATGTATTCTCATAAAATACACTTAGATAAGAATATTTAGTCTTTACAGTGATACAAAGAATTCATTTAAAGAATTTAATAACCCTTATAGGATTACTTTTCAAAAGTACTAAGAACTTTATGTTTCTAACCTAAAAGTGTTTGACAAATCTTTAGATGGATAAACAGTGGTCGTATTATTTTCATCACAATCATTTATTAACAGATTTGTCCAGTATGTGCGTATTTACCTGGTGGTGAGCCAAATCTTGTTGTGGATGATATTGCTGGCCATTTAACTCTGGAGCATCGTAGTGGATCAAGAGATTTAATAACATTTCTCGACGAATCAAGTTCGAATCGACATGGTGTTCGGCGGATAACTCATTCGACAAGAGGTGTCAGTGCATCAAGACCTCGCAGGTACTTATTAATATACAGTAAAATTAAAGAATAGTTGTATTTTTCTATACCTAATAAATAGAGTTATTATTTCCCTTCGCTGCCTATGCATAAGAAATATTACGCTTTACATTTAATTTTTACATACATATTTAATTGCTTGTTCATAATTTTTTTTTAATTACATATAAAATCCATGCACTAGAATATAATATGTTACTGCTAATAAACCATAGTTTATTAGTTTTTGTATTATTATTTTTTACATTGTTATTTCATTTATATTAGTACAATTCTAAATGTATTAATTCTAGTCTCAAAGCAGTATATCTCAGATTTACTTTTAATAAAAAAAATTTGAGGTAATTCTTTCTTGTCTGTTCTTACTGAGTTCAAAATAAAAAAATTATATCTGTATACCAATTCATTTTACAAATTTTTGCTTCTATCGATAGCTTTTTCAACTATAACTACATAATTCAATACGTATATACTAGTTTTAATACAATGCATTTTTTATTTTTTTTATTACGTAATTCTGATAATTGATGGTTGTAGGGTAAAATTAGTGTAAATTTTCGAAAATAAACACTCTCCAGCAAATGATATATTATTTTTAAAATTAATTTGATCAAATCATGTATTAAATGTAACAGAATTTTACAGATTTAAATATTCATACAATCGTAATTATTTATATTTTATGGGTATTTCTTTGTAAATGCAAAAATTGGACAAATATTTAAAATATATGTTTTTTTTGTGTTTTTGTTAATTTTCAGGTCTAATATGCATTTTAGTTCCTCGGGTGGACTTAGCCCAAGTAATAGAGATGGGATTGACCCAATAACTGAATTACTTTCACAATTATCTGGAGTTCGAAGATCTGGAGCTAGTAGTAGCGGAAGTGGAAATGCAGTTCAAAATTCATCTGCACCCTCGCAATTACAACAATTACAAATGCAATTACAACTTGAACGTCAGCAAGTCAGAGTAGGCATTCTACTATCATTATATACATTTAATAATTCATTATGTAATAGATCGAGAAGAAAACATTAAAATTTCACATTTTACGTGTAGGCTGTAAGGCAGCAATTAGAACGATTGCCAAAAAGGCAAACTCAAGTAATAGGTTCGGTTACGGGTGGTGCTAGCAGTAGTGGAAATCATTCAAACACTATATCTAGTGTTGTGGCAAACAATACAACTAGTAATAATAATGTTGCTAGCGCTGCTAATCCATCCAGTGTTTCAGCGTCTAACCCACAGAACTCTACGTTTCTACTTCCTCGGTAAGATCATCGAACAAAAATTTATGAACATCAAAATATTTTTAAATTGTAGTCGTAAGAAAAATGTTGTTATATCTTATTTCATAGGTCTCTAAAGTTTTATTTTACTTTAGGATGACAAGTTTTATTCATATTTTTTAATTTATCTACATAATCCAATAATCTCAAAATAGTTTTGTGAAAAAATTTTAAAGTTGTATAAATGAATATATTAAAGTTTTATGTAAATTTAATTCACAATTATTTAATGTAATTGAAGCGAGTAATGTAATAGAAGAATTTCAATGAAATTTTTTTTGAAGTTAAAATTGATATTCTTTAAATCATAATCTTAAGTATTACTTGAAATTTTTACAGTATAAAGTTTATGATATTGAATGAATAAAATTATTAGATATGCAAGATTACAATATATTATTGAACTTTTTAAAAACATGATATAATTAAATTGTAACAAACATTGAATAAGATTGTTATGAATTAAATTCCATGTACTATATATTTTATTATTTATACATTTAAAAGAGGAAATTGTTAATAGTAAATTATTAACTTATCAACAGTATTCGAATATTTAAAAATTTGATTACATAATAAGAATTTCCGAAATATTTCAAAATATAAATATTTTTCAGTAAACAATACTATAGAATAAATCAATCGGTTTCAAGAAGTCTTTTATACAACAATTTATCGAACTGTTAAGAGTAAAAAAGGGAAAAAATAACGACTATGGTATATGAATTTTACAAGTTATTTTCAATTGTAAAATTAATAAATACAATGAGAATCTTTATGACAATTTATTATAATTGAAGAATTAATCGATTTAAGACTTGCAAATATTTTTAATATTTAAGAAACTGTTGTTACCCGTATGAAAAAAATTTTGTGATATTTTAACAAGCAATTATTATAGAAATTGGTAAAACAATGTAAAGCCTTCTTTCATTATCTCTTTTAACGATACTTTAAAATACGAGCGATAGCTATTTTTTTTATAATTTTTCATATTATTTCCATTTTAGTTAAACCTGAAATTGTAAACCATTCTAGCCATACCCATTACAAAATATCCATCAAACTGAAAAAGAATAAATTCTCAACGTACAATAAACAATTGAGCATCATTTATAGAACATCGTGCATATATCATAACTAAATAAACGACTAAATTATCATCCGCCATAAATCACACGAATACGATAGTTAAATTAAATCGATAAAGTTTAATTGATAATTGCAATGAATATTGGTAAAGTGTTTTTGATCTATTCGACTGCAGGTGCATAGCAAGCGCGCCATCGGATACGCAGCTGCAGAGCATCGAGAGAGAGAGCGCGAACCGTAGTTTGTTCACGCGGGAGCTCGTGGTGAGTACTCTGGTGGAAGCACTCCCGGACCTTGCGGTCGCCCAGCAGCAGCCGGCTTCGAGCACGCAAACGCCGAGCGTGTCAACGAGCACGAGCAGCCCGGAAACACCGAGCGCGACGAGCTCCTCGCTCACTGCCCAGCAATCGACGTCCAAGAAGCCGTCCGACGGCTCCTCGTCCACCAACACCACCACCACCACCACAACCACAACAACCACCACCACCACCACCACAACCACCACCACTACCACCACCTCATCCTCATCCTCATCCTCGTCCTCGTCCTCATCCTCGTCTACCACCACCTCCACCTCCACCTCCTCATCATCTGCCTCATCATCATCAACGTCCTCTTCGTCCTCATCCTCTTCATCACCATCCTCTTCCTCTTCCGCCGCGGCCCAGGAGAGCAGCGGTAAGAGGGAGCAGGGCGGCGGTGGTGGAGGCGGTGGTGGAGGCGGCGTCGGCGGCGGTGGTGGTACTACGCTCGGGAAGCAGCACAGCGGCAACACGACGCAGGCGGCACCGGCGAACAGCTTACATCAGGGGCTGCCCGCTAATCCGAGCGCGGTCACGACTCAGAGCACCGCGCCTGTTGTACAAACACTAATGCACGTTATACCTCAGCCACTGGTGAGTCCAAGGCTTCACTATCGCCACGATTCCCCGTCCGCTTTGACGCGCCCGTTGAGCGTTGATTGACAGCTCCGTGTGCCCCTCTGTCCTGGGGAGATTCGATTCTGTGCCCCCTAGTTCTAGCAGCTAGTTGCATGTAATTTTACGGCCGTTGTAACAAGAATCCTTCAAATCGCCAATTGCTCATCATGAATTTATCTTCAATTTTTAATTTTTAATTTCTAATTTCTAATAACTATATGCTTTAATCCAGTAGTGTATTCGATACGAAACAAATTTAAGATTTTTGAAAAAACATTCAAAAGTATTAATCTGCTTTTTTATTGTGTGCAATAGAAACTCCATTAAAAAACAAGAAACAAAAAAAAAAAACAAAAAAAAAACAATAAAACAAAAACAACAACAAATTCCATTAATAATCTAGCAACACCGCACAATGTCAAATATTTTTATATACATATACATATACATAGACATATATATATACGTATCTATTGTTTAAAAACCGTTTAAACGAATAAAGTGGGTGTACAATCACATTTTAACATTATTATAACAAATTTCTCTCGTCAATAAAACAAAAGTCAAATCTTCGGATAAACTTGTAATTTGTGAGCTATTGCGTTAATATAAATACATTTTAACATTTCTATAAGAAAGTAGTTCACAAACAAGAAAAATCAAGCAGCTTTATAGATTTATAATCCCATAAATTGTGTTAAATATTAAATATTATAAGTAGTTGTGTAATATTTAATTTTTATTTCTAAGAATAAATATGTATAATTCAACTAAGCTTTTTAGTACCATTTTTGTTGTAAAAGAAATTAAAAAATGTAAATAATTTTTGTAGTATTTTGTATTTAAATAATCACGAAGAATTTAATAAAAGTATTTAAACCATAAAAAAACAAACGAAAATGTAGTTTTTAAATACTCTTAAATAATCATCTATAAAATAGCGAATAGTAAGCGAATAGTAATTGAAATGACCAAATGGACTGACTATATGGGGAGTACCTTATTGATGAACATGTTATCAGATATTTATAATTCAAATTAAAATTTAAACTTCAAATTTAAAGCAAATTTTACATGCCGCCAATAGGTTTGAGTTTTTAAATTGCCAGTGCAATAAAGTTAATTTATTTCTATAAATGTACAATTTAATAAACAAAAGCATAATCCTCGTCATGGAATTTTAATTTGAAAAGCATGAAAATAAACACTTAACTTTGCTATATGCAAATTAAATAATTGATTAAATAACTTCAGTCTATAGAAACGGAGTAATAATTTTGTTTGCGTTGATCGATGTTTAAAATTATGATACCAAACTGTCGTAACTGAAAATATGTGTCAAAAAGTTAAAATTATATCTCAATACGCTGATTTCAATGAAAGCTTTGAAAAAAAAGTATTATTAAATATAAAAATAAAAGAAATTATGCTTGATGAAAGATCGTTTTGTCTATAGTAAAATATACGTTATAATATTTTGTTAAATAAATTATTTGATTAATAGTTACACAGCTGGTATATAAGCATGAATGTCTATTTTACATTAATTTTACAAATAAATATTAGACATACTATTTACAAAATAAAATAATAAGTACATTTTAAAAATTAGTTTGATCTTTTAAGAGAGGAAATTATTAATATATTTATAATATATTCTCATAATCCAAATATAAAATATTCAATATTAAATTCAGATTTGACTTAACGTAACAGTCTCGTCATTTTAAAACGAACAATAACGATTATTCAGAATGTCATTTCACATCGTATAAATTTATTTTAATGATAATTTATATTTATGCATTATAATAATTTTCCTTGAAATGGCACGTTATGTGACATTTGTTTATACAGATATTGCATTATACGTTATAATGATCGAGCGATCCATTGCATATTATTTATCATTGAAATTGTAATTTAGCTTCAACATTTTACTTAAAATTTTTTAACAAAAAAGAGATAAAATATCTTTGTTATACTCATTAAATTGCATCGATAATCCATTTATTAGACGTAAATGTATTATTAAACGATAATTTGAATTTTTAAATAAATTTTATCCATCCTATAATTTTAACTAGTTTGAAAGCAACTTATATTCGTCTATATTGTAAAAGTAATTATCAAAATATTTAAATAAAAACTAGACATTTTTATTATTATTAATGGTTTCACTAATCTTACTAAGTTCTGTTTACACTTTTCTCATATATCACTTAATATTATTGAGGCAATCTTACACGGTTACTTACACAAATGGTTAATAGAATTTTAGATTTCTTAAAATCAATAAATTGGTCTTTCTCTATAATGCCGTTTTAAAAAATGACATTTTTTAACATAATCAACCTTTTAACAAAAAACAATAGATCTTAAAATTTTTAGAAATCGCAAGTTATTTTTCTTCCCGATAAAACGATTTTTTAATTATTGCTATATTAGACTATATAAGGCATATGCCCGATATATCAATATATATATATATATATATATATTTTTTTGTAATTTATTTTAAAAGAACTATCATTTTATTGTTTTCGACGCTTCGAGACGCTTATAACACTTATATAACATTATATCTTTACAAATTGATCGATTTAATTACATTTTTAATGGATCTTCCCCTAACGTGTGATCAACATTACTAGTTATACGGTTCGTAAAATCAACGTTTAATATGTTCTAAAATTTCCAATAACCTTTAAGCTGTTTTTGGTATTTCAAAACACATATACATGACATAATATTAATTACAAAAATAACTCTTGTTTAATTGTTTTAAATTTTTAAAACTCGTTCATTCACACGTGCCCTTCCATACATAAATATAACTTTAAACAGACATATCTTATGAAATTTAACTTATGCCTAATTTTATTAAAATATCACGGATATATATCTCATTTATTGTATAAAAATTTATCAAATACAATTACACGACTTCTACCTTGTAATAATTTGCTTAACTCCCAGAAATAGAATCTTAAGAAAAAAGTAGAAAATAAGCGAGTGAAAATACATTAAATAGTATAATTTTATTGCAGAGAGTGCATACGTATATCAGTTTTATAAGTATTAAATAAGGCGAAGATATTTTTGTTCTTTTAATATAATTTACGGCATAATATCGTAAGAAAAAAGAAAGAACGAAAGAAGTTTGTTGCAAATTTCATGCAATTTTATTTTAAATTATGAAAAAATATATCTGATATATCTGATCTTTCTAACGATATTATCTATATTAGGACTTTTTTATATACTAAATGTACAAAGTTCAATGCTTTAAGTTAACTTTATAGATAAATCATCAATCTTTAATCGAATTTTATAATACAATTTTAACGGTACAGTTATTAAAGTTTGGCTCTCGCGTTTAATTTTTATTTGTGCTCGTTCAAATTTAAAAAATTTGAGTGTATTTCCTTAGCCATTGCATGCTCGCTGCTACAAAAACTAAATTTTTTGAAAATCCAATCAATGCTGCTGCTTACATTACGTTCAATAGCAAAACGCTTCGAAATTAGTTTAAGAGTGTTCAGCTTCTTAATAATCATAAAAGTAACAAATATGTGCAATCGATCCCAACTGCGTAATTTCAGCGGACCGACCAGCATTTTGCCTGTTATTTTTAAGAAATGCAAATAAAGTAAATCGATAGGTAAAGGGAAAAATGGAAAACGCTGGTGGAGTTGACCGGACTCCTTTATGTTACAGGTACTGCAGCAACCACTACCAATAAGAAATACCGGTACCGGTACAATCAGGGAACAGATGGCCACGCCACCGGCGACCGCTTACCTCCGAGGCGGCGTTGGACCCGTAGGCGTCACCACGGGTCCGTCGCGCCGGAAACCCGTGAGGACCGTCGACGGCCGAAATCAGTCGACGGAGCCGCCGCCCCCGCACTAACGAGGCCTCGATCGTATCCCGTCCGCCACCCTCCACCCCTTCTTTCTCCTCTTTCTCCGTTACCGCCGCCACCGCCACTACTACTACTACCACCAAAATCGCCACCGCTACCACCACCGTCGTCACGGCCATCGCCATCGCCATCGCCATCGCCATCGCCATCGCGACCGCCACCGCCGCCGTTGTTGCCGCCGCCGCTGCTGCTGTTGCTGTTGCTGCTGCCGCTGCCGCCGTTGCTGCTGCTGCTGCTGTTGCCGCTGCCGCCGCCGCCGCCGCCGCCGCCGCCGCTATCGCCACAACCATTCTACAGCCACCCCACAACACCGACCCTTTCAATCCAAACAAAGCCCAGCCAATTTATCATTCGATATCCATCCTCGCGCTCTCCCTCCTCCTCTCCGTGCATCAAAACATCGTCCTCGCTCCTTTTTCGGCCAACATCCTTATACGTCCCCATCGTCCTTAACCACCAGCTCCACAAGAACCGGTTCGCAGTGATGAGAGAAAGAACGCAAGAAAGTGAACGTGATGACAGCACGTCTGTGTGCGTGCGCGCGTGTAAGCGTGAGGGAGAGAGAGACAAAACAAAAGAACCCACTAGCACTAGTCCTAGCACTGTTTAGAACACCTCGTCATTATTGTTATTATTATTATTATTATTATTATTATTATTATTATTATTATTATTATTATTATTATTATTATTATTACAAATGCATAACATTTATTTACGAATTAATTGATTTCCACGCGCGTATGAGAGAGAAGTGATAGAGCGTGCGTGCCTAAGTGAGAGAAAAAGTGAGAGAGATAATATATCAGAGGACGATAAAGAGTACGGATGCAACGAGGGCGAATGATGAAATAACTTTCGTTATTCTTTCTTCGATTTTCGATTTTCGATTAGAAAAAGGGTGATGGTTGTGCTTGTGCTTGTGCGTGTGCGTGTGAGAGAGACAGTGAGGAGGGGGAGTGGGCGTGGAGAAAAAGGGGGGGGGGGAGTAAGAGTGAGGTGTTTGCTTTTTTCTTTTTGGTCGTTCGACAGCGGAATGTTACCATACATACGTTCGTACGATGAGTTTCAGTTAGTGTTCGTGTAGTATCATCGAACGTAAATTAATAAAACAAATAAAAACAATGAATTTATTATATCAAAGAAAATACAAAAACAAAAACAAAACAAAAAAACAAAAAAAAAATTACATAGTGGCACTTCTCTCGTTACGCGTAATGCAGTTTTTCATGATAGAATTCAATAGACAGAAGGATTGTTTAAAGCGGCGAATCAGAGAATGAGTTTTAAGGTAGAGGATACATTGCAGGATAATAATGAATGATTAACTTCGGCTTGCTGTTAAATAGTTTATACGAAATTGATAAAGACGGAGTTTGCTCGTGATAATATATGAGAATGAAATTTCTTATCGTATTGTGTTCTTTTATTTGTCTCATTGAAATTGTACTAATTCCAGAACTAAAAATTATTATTATATTGTACAATTACTTCGTATTCTTTTATTTTACAGATTCTCTTCATTTTAAATTAGTTGATGCTAATTTTTTTCTTAGTATTTTTTTTTTTTTTTTTTTATTTTTGCTTCGAGCACAAGCTCGATACTGTCACTTACTGTATCGTCTATTATTGTTGACATCCGATTATATATATATATACACACACGCTTTGTGAAATTATAATGAAAGTTTTAACTCCTTCAAAACAAATTTTTTAATCTTAGTAAATGTATACTTTGTGCAAATTATCAAAGTTTACTGTGTTTAATAGAAGCGAGCTGTGCATACAAATTAAAATTAGTTTATTGTTGTCTCTCTGCCTCTGCCTATAAAAACAAACAGACAGACAGACAGACAGACAGACAGACAGACAAAATACGCAAAGGTCCCTTAGTTTCACTTCCCTTATTCTTTCTCTTTTCAGCTTTCCGTCACTCGTGTCGTGTAATTTTTTTAAACGAAAGAATCTTATCGAGCTATACGAATCGTTTGCTAATATGATTAAAAAAAAAAAAAAAGAAATCTCGTTGCTCGTTTCAGGCGCAACATTTACAAAATAGGGGGAAAAATAATGAAAAAAAAGAAACAAAAAATGAAATAATATTAATAATGAAAAGGAAAGCGTGAATCGAGGTATGAGCGATATACGAAGAAAATTGAGTATGATGAATGAACTTTTTGATAGCGGAACAACGTATTAAACACAAAAAAGAAATGGCATAAATAACTAACAAGCATACATCGTCTGTTTCTGATTGTCAATGATTTAATACAAGGCCATGGTTGAAACTGCAATTTTTATTAATTATTGAGAACATCATCGTCGTATCGAATATTAATATAATACTAACACTAAGGCTTGTAAAACTAGATAGTTAATGAACGATTTAAAAAAAAAAAAAATTAAAACAAAAATAAAAATAAATACAAAAAAAAAATTAATAAAAACAACACACGAATACGTGCGATTAATAGGGACTTTAAAGTGATATAAATTTACTTAAACTCTATTGTAATATACACGTGACTTGCCAGATAAAAAGAGAAGATTAAAAATAATAAAATCACTTAACGAAAATAAAGTAATAATAGTTCTATTCAACAAAGTTGTTCTCTTAAATATATCTTTTATTTTTCTCTCTTACGCGTTCAAAAGGAATTTTAACGTTATTTCTACTCGTATAGACATTATTTCGTTGAGCTGACGTCTTTTAAAATTGCGCCTTCAATTTTATATCATGTATTATATGTACTAATTTGGGGAATTAAAAGAATAAAAGACTCATTTTAATCATTTTATCAACGAATACGAGAAGCTGTAAAGTTTTGTATAAAAAGTAATGAGTAAACGTTGAGAGAGTGAGAGAGGCACTAAGAAAATTTTTATACGACGTTTGTAAATGAAAGGAGCGCGAGGTATCTTCTCAACTGCCAAGAAATAACCCTGAAATTTGAAACGTAAATTAATTGCGCGCAAATTTAAAAGTCGATCGGCAATATAACGTTTTCTCGAAAGTACCACGTGTATCGTATCATACACAAATCAAATTGAATATGTAATGAGAATGTAGAAATGAATGTTGAATGAAAAAGAAAGAAGAAAAAAAATAATAATAATAAACGATAAATAAGAGCTGAGCGACGAAGAAAGCTCAAAGAAAGTTCAAATGAATAAAGATTGATTTCTTAAGGGGAGGTTGGAGGTTGGGCGTGTTCGTATAATATTCTGTGAGAATAAGGAAATCAAGATTAGTCTTAAACGTTAACACTGATCAAAGAAAAGGACGATAAGATGTTCGAAACGTATATTTGAATAGTGTTGAAGAACGTGAAAGCTCGTACTATATATTTTTTGTCTTTTTTTTTTTTTTTTTTTTTCCTTTTTTTTTCCTGTACATATTTATAAATGGATGAAATTGTGAGTGGTTGTGTGTTTGTGTGCGTGCGTGCGTGTGTATAAGAGAGAGAGAGAGAGAGAGAGAGAGAGAGAGGGCGAGAGGGAGAGAGTGGCGCACGTAAAAGTTTCGCAACATTACGTATATAAATAAAGCGATTTCTTAGCAATGAGATAGCAGAGTAAAGCAAAAATCTCCGTTACTGATTTTCCAAACAAATGAAAAATTAAAAAAATGTCGTTGAAAGTTTCTTTATATGCAATTATAGAGACAGAATAATTAATTTACTTGCGATAGCACAATGGCAAGACGAGCGTTTGTATAACGAGAAAAATCGATCATTAAAATTTGACCAGACAATGTGTGTTTTATTATATACATAGAATTATTAGATACAGTGATACGTGAAAGAATTAAAGAAAAAAAAAGCACAGAAAGTGAGCAGCGCTGGTTTGATCGAGGAGTCTATTACATGTACTCCTTGTTCAGTAAATAAACAACATAAATTAATAAATACACGTTAAATTACACACTGCGTGGAACTAATGGCGACTTCTTATACATAATAACGATAATGATTGAACTGTACATCGTGTTTGGTTGTATTATTTGTCTTATAATATGCCTCTAATGCAGAATATAATGGAAATTCAAAGGAATTCTTAAAACCCTTTCAGAGTGTCGTTTTATTATTGCTTTTATTTCGTTTTGCTATATTTTCAACAATATCCATAACAAAAATGTTATCACTTCATTATGATCAATTTAATTTTTGTATACAATTTTTCAATGCTCGCTCAAACATTGGCATTACCATTTATAATTAAACAAAAATTTCTTATTCGTAATAATCGTAATGATAATCATGATTATTACATTACGTTTGCCTATGTTTAAAATCAATCACGATAAAAAATATAATAAATTTTCGTTTTCACTTTAATGTTTTTTAGTTCAAGTTTTTTTTTTTTTAATTTTTTTAACGATAATGATATTGCAGATAAATATAAACTTTCAAACAAATATATATTACATTTTAATTCTACTTTTAATGAAATAATTATTACTAAAAATTATTTACTAAAGCTATGCATTCATTTTATGAAGTAAATTATTCGAATATAAATTAAATTAAAATTAAAATTCGATGTCATTGAAAATTACATATATTGTACTAATATTTTGTAAATTTGTAAAATTTAAAAATATTAAGTTAAATAAAATAAATAAATAAACCTTTTTTTTTCTTATTTTTTTTTTCTTTTTATAAAAATATTACATTAAAAGATTTTCATAAAAGATAGTAAATTAAAGTAAAAAAATTTATTATGAGCATTAGTTTTTAACTTGAATAAATATTAATTTAAAATTAATTCGATTCATTTTAGCCGTTAAATAATAAGGTAATTAATTTGATTTGAAATTTGAAATCTTAAAATTCATCAATACAAGAGAACATTTATTTGTACGCAAGATTTTTTCATTTAACAATAATCAGAAACAAAAAAATAAAATAAAATCAGTTAATTTAAAACCTATTTAAATACAAAAATAAGATGCTTTAAATAACTTTATTTCGCCACTATTTTAATAATAAAATTATCTTTCTCATAATCTTATAATTAAATTCAATACGATTGTATTGAGAAACACGCCAGGCTAATGTTGTCTATTGTATATTATTTATTTAATATTACATTATTAATAATAGAAGCAAATAGAAGCAAATAAAACAGAATGAAAATATTAATATTTATTAAACAACTTTTTAAATACAATGAATGTTATTTATTATATATTTAAATATTATAATTGACTCATTGGATTATTATTACTGTTTATTGGTTATCTGTATCTATGATAAATGAGCTCCTCTTTTAATTTTATAGATATTTTTATATGCCAATCATTGGGAAACGATTTTATTTTCGTAGAAAAATTTTGTATTTTCAATATTAATAAATAAATATTTATTTGATATTCCCATGCTGCTTTTAAGTATTCACATGAAATATTTTTATTTTGTTTTTAAATTATTAGTTATTCTTAAATAACTTTAATTGGTACTGCATATATTAATCTTAATAATTAATTAACCCTTACTTCGGAGATATAAATTTTTTTAAATTCGAAAAAATTAGTAACGAATGTAGACAATATTTATTTAGAAGCTTTATAAATTTAATAATGTATAAAATATATACTGTGATTTGGCAAAAAACATTATTTTTTTTTTTCCATACAACATTCTATTAAATTATTGTTAAATTTATTAAAATTGGTTTATCATTTTGTTTATTAATTGTTTTTCGCATTTATTGTATATTACCATTAATATTTTTATTTAGTGTTAATTTAAGGAAAGTATTATTAAAGTGATGAATATACTCTACTTACAAAATGTAAGTTGATGAGCTAAGGAATCAAGAGTATTAATTCATTAGGATTCGATCAAATATAATTATAAATTAAAATAAATTATAACTTTGCCATGTATTTTTGAAAATTTTCAGCTACTTTTTAAACTGTTTTTAATTATACTTATCTAAATTTTGCCAAAATTAAATGTTTTCATTGGATTTTCAACAAGAAACAAAATTTTATCCTATAAGGTGAGTTTTTAATAATATGAAATCTTTTTATATTAATATTTAGACGATTTTCAATGGTGTACGGGCAACCAAATATTGCAAGCTTTTTGTTTTATTTTCTAAATATTTTCATTACAGTCGCTTTCAATATTGTATTTGCAGTTAAATTTTTCTTGAGAGTAAAGTTACGCTGATTTTGCGATGTGCGTTTTAAATAAATGATGGACATTTCAGGGGAGTTTATACTTCTTGTATCAAATAAATTTTTTACATACATCATAATGATGCCTTTTTAATTTTGAGAAATTCGAATATTTAGTTATAATAGTTAAAATTTGAATAGACAGAGTATTCAGGAAATGAGACATTATTTTATATAAAAAATATATCTTCATTGATATTATGCACTATATTAATTAAAATTACATCAAACTTAAATTTTTTTGTTCTTACCTTATTTTACAGCTGTTTCATAAATCTATATTTATTACGATAATCTTTAGATTTAATTTAATTTTATCTTTTAATCTTTTTTTTTTTTTTTTTTTTTTTTTTTTTTTTTTTTTTTTTTTTTTTTAAGAATAATAGTTAATATAATAACGAATTTTCTTTCTTGGATTTTATTTATGAAGAAAAATCGCGAATTTCAACACATCAACAAAACCGATAAATAGTGATTTTTAAAAAGTGAATGCAACTCAACATATTACATTACTATTAATTAGCAATTTTCAATAATATTGTTTAGAATGTTATGACGATTAAAATTAATTTCTCGTAAATCTATTCAACAATAAATACATTCCACTTCTTTTGAAGACAATTTCGGTATAGTTATATGCCTAATGTAATTAGTAACCTAATTACCAATATCATTCGAAATTAAGTATAATATTTTATTAGATAAAGTATTGATCGATAAAAAATAGTCGAATGAATTAGTGAACTGATTTTTACGTGAAATTGCTAATTGGTCGACTTGAAGATGGTAAATAGAAATTAAATTAAATTCATTTTTAAACAATAATTTTGTCGTTTTCATTTTGTATGGATTGAAACTTACTGGGAAATTTGCTATATTACCTGCAGTCCACATTATTTATCCATCTATAATAAATACAAAGACGTGATTTAAAATGTAAAATTGATATAGGGAAGAAGAGGCATATTTCTACAATGTCGACTAACGAAGATGGAAACATCGATTTTAAAGGGACTTCATCCTACGAGAATGAAAAGCATGAAGAACAATCGAGTTTCACACATGAAGAGTTAGTCAAATTAACCAAAGAAGCAATCAGAAATATAATCGAAAGTGATCCGCTCCTTAGTGATCTTCCATTAGATCCAACTGCTGAAGAAATTAAAGCGCAAACTGCAGTGGCTCAAGGACAAGCCATCGTTCTGTTTTTAGATCGTGGAAATTTGCCAAAATTATCGATTGTGGTGTATATTTTTCATAATTTTTCTAGTGATTAACATAACCTTTAAAAAAAAAAAAAAAAAAAAAATTTTTATATCTTACATTAAATTTGTATAATTCTGACCTTTTTACTTCATATGAAAATAACGAAGATTAAATTAAAAATGAAAATTAAACAATGCTCTTTTGTGTAATTAGAAATAAGTATATAGTATATTATTCATCGTATATTAATATTCTTTTTTTTTAATCACATAGGTGCCACCGCGGAATACAACTGTTTTGGATTTGAAGAAAGCAATCAAACGACAGACTAATTTAGCCTTGAAACGAGAGCATGTAACTCGAAAGATTAGTTGGAAACACGTTTGGAAGAAGTATAATCTCTGTTACGATAATATTATATTAAATAACGATAGGGAAGATATACAAAATTATGGAATTGTTAATAAAATAGTCCTACGCTATGTAAAAAGGAAAAGAATTAAAAATACATTATAATACGTTTGTTGCCTCTGTATCTTTAGATTAAATATTTGCAATACTTTTATTACTTTTTTTTCTTTTATAAATTTTTAATACAATATATTAAAAATAGTTTGAATTTATATTGAGTTTCTTCACTTCTGTTGGTTTTAAAATTTCAATTTTCAAATCAGGTATACAATCATTGAGCATTAGACAGGTCAATTGAAACGATACGGTATTCTTGTAATCTGTTATAATAAGAGTTTGCAAATCGCTACATCTGTAAAGTGCTTCCAAAGCTCTTTCAGTTACGTTTGGACAATCTGAGATGTCAAGGTACTCCAAGCAGGGAAAGTACGATGAAATTCTGTCCATGTACCAATCATCAAATAACGGAGATCTTTTAAATATTGCTTTTTTAATCTTTGATGAATTTTTAAAATTTTCAAGACCATTATAATATAATATAAAATCGCTAGCATCAATTTCCGTGACAATGTAATTAGGATCGTATTTCTGTGGTAAATCGACAGTTTTATTATCTTTGTTTAGTTGTATCCACTCGTCTTGTCCTTTGAATTTGACTTTACCACCATTAGATACAAGAAAATATGCAAGCGCCAAATCATATCCTACATACTTCTCAATTTCGTGATTAACATTTTGAAGATTTTGATGAGTACTTATAGTTTTTCTTTTTAAAAATTTTATTATACCCAAGGGATTGACTTCGATATCCGCTTGAAAAAATTTAAATATAGCCAAATCTGGTGAAATATTAATAATTGGTTTCTGTACTGACGCTACTGGGCCTCTCCAGCTTTCTAATTTTTTCTTTACTCTTTCAATCTCCGCTTGCCCCTTAGATTTTGGATAATGCTTTATTACACCACATGATATCGATTGTGCAAATATATTTGAAAATTGTAGATATTTTATTTTTAACAACTTTGTTTTTATATTTATTTGAATTGTCATCATTCACTTTACTTCTATTTTTTATGGGCACTTACACTCAAACATTTAGCTTTTTTGAGGTTATCAGTGAAATAAACCTACAAATTAACATTCGAATTCCAATTACATTTACTCTTCAGTTTATTCATTAAATATCTATTAATTAATATTATAAATACGATCGACGTCTAAGTATACAAGTAAGAAACTATAATTTTCAAATTCAAATTTCGTATTTATTTAATAGTGCTTAATAAAAAAAAAAAGAATAATAATAATAAACGACTGCCATCTACCAGCAATAGCAATTATAATTACAATTATTTTCCTCCTTTGTCATATAAAATATTAATTTTATGATAAGAATTGAAAAGATCCTTGTCTGCAGTGGGCAATTGATTAGAAAAGAATCAATTATTGTTAGTATATTTGTAAAATTTTTAATATGTTCATAAATAAAATAAAACTAGTATAGTATTAAAAGATTTATATTATAGAATAAAAAACTTCATAAATATTATTATTTTCCACATTTTCTACATGCATTTTATTCAAGCTTTATATTTAAAATTTTTTAATTATCCTCAAATTTTATATTTACTTAACAATAATTCTTCGTTTGTATTCGAATTAGGTTTATCTTACTTTCAACAAAACCCTATGAAATTTTTACAAATAATACAAACCATTGAAATTTTATTCTTAAATAATCTCCGTTTTTAATTGCATCTGTTAATATAATAAAGAATGCATAGAGCATTAAAAGTTTATTAATAAATTCTTATTTCTATCATGATAATAGAATGTTTATGAGGAGCTAACGTCACTTTTCAAATGTTGCATAATATAAGAGAATAACAAGCTTCAATGATATCATTCAGGTGCTGTAAAATTTTTTACTTTATCTATGTAGATGTTTTGATAAATCGATGAGTCAATTTAATCTTGCAAAATCTTATTTTTCTTTACGAATAAATACTTTATAGCGCTTGCATGCGATTATTACATTTTAAAATTTATTTTATATTTTTTTCTTTAACTATAGCTCGTAAAAATTTATTTCACATTTATGTATATAAACATTGATTTAAATATATTGTTATAGCTTATGAGTTTTGAAAACAATATTCATAATCATAATCCATTAAATATATATCGTTATACTTATTATTTAAAAGCAGACAATTTTTTCACAATAGACAATTTATGAATTCATCTTTAATTCTCCTTTCTCACTGACTAAATTATTATGATAAAATTCAAATTATTGAATGAGACAAACAGGACAGGGTCTTCTTTCACTTTTGAAACAACCCAACAACTGTTAAATTAATGAAATTGTTGCATCTAATATTGATTGTTTAGATCGCAAGAAAGATCGCCGTTTTCTACAATATTTTAATAACTGAATTATTAATAATCGTTTGAAAAATTTTTACCGAGATTTAACAAGTTATTTAATAAAAGGTTTAATCTGCTGAAATTTCTTCGATTTAATTTTTTAATTTTTAATGTTTAATAATATTTAATAAAACTTCAACGAGCAAAACAATGGAGAATATTGAAACAAAATTATAATGGCAGTGGTAGTAAAAGTAGTGATATAAGTCGAAAAGAAATACAAAACATTAACATTTCTTTACGATACTGAATTATGTGGGTCAAAATCATGCATCATAAACATTTAATTTGTTACTTTAGGCATTTGGTGCATAAAGTAATGCATTATTATATTATTTAAGGAAAACAGAATTTGTCCTCGATATTGTTCTCCGTAAATTAAAATCGGTATGGTAATGTAATAATTATTAATATTATATATATATATATAATATGAATTCCAATATCCTTTGGCTTCTTATTTCAAACGGATTAATATTAATATTTGAAAATAATATAGCCAGTTTATTTAATAAATCATAAACCGAGGAGTACTAAAAGTAAACTAATTTGTAATAATACAGATAAAGTTTTGTAATTTCAAACAACGGTTTTATTCATTTATTTATTTATTTCGTATACAATGTTTTTTACGTACTGAATTATTTATATAGTTTTTTTTTTGTTAAACTAATACATTTTTTTATACATATGCCTAGTTTTTACAGCTAATTTACTTTTGTCTTACGAGCACGTTACTCTCCTATCAAGAACACGTGTTTGTAAAAATAATTTTACGTTACCAAATAATGCCTTATGACTCACCATGATAGATAGAATTTAGGAAAGTTATCCAGCAGCAATGAAAATATTATCCACCAATTTTCCTTTAATAATTCGTAATGTACAAGAAGTCTTATTTTGTCAAAAAAAAAAAAAAAAAAAAAAAAAAAAAAAAAAAAAAAAAAAGAAGAAGCTTGAAATTAAATAAAATGATAATAACAATTTGCATTCACTATAATGATCATAAATACAAGAGAATATAAATATTTGTACGATATGTAAATATGTATTAATCATGGATATATATTTTACTGAATTGACAATAATCATAATGATAGTAGAATATAATAAAAGGTATATACTTAATGTAGTATATTTTTATTATAATAATTTATGATATACGCATCCATAACATAATAAGATATTGGATTAAATAAAAATTACATATTTATCAATAAAAATATGCTCTTAACCGTGACTTATTTAAAAAATATTATTTAATATTTATCTAATATTGAATAAAGTTTTGGATTAGAAGAATAAATAGAATTATTTGTCAACAAAACGTCCAAGTATACGTCGACCAATGATAGCTCGAGCGTTCAGTAAAGAATTCAAAATATCGAAAGTGAAAGTCAACGTCAATACATTAGTTTATTTTACGCATACGCATTCAATTTCTCTAACTCTGCTTATTGCAATTTAATTACTTTCGGTTGGCTGTTGTTACATACGCACAAAAAGCTTTTAGCTTTTAGCGAATTGTTGTTATGAATAGAATAAATCCTCATAGCTTCTAGCGTCTTGAGCTATTCAATTTGCTTTTCAATTTTGGTTAGAACGTTTCATCTATTGTTTGTGTACGCTCATAATGCTGTAAGAAATTTTTATAAAAATGACAGAAGATGATAAAGTGGGAACCCTCGTTGACGAAGCTTTAAAACGCAAAGAAAGGCTACAAAATTTAAAGAGAAAAAATGAAGACAATATTCAGGATAAGAGTAACGTTATTCAATTACCAACGTAACCAACTTTATCATAACCTCTAAATTATTATTTATCCAGCATAGAATGTATTTCATTTATTGAATTAATTTGGAAATTGTAGACCAAAATTCAGAAGCTATAAACCTCAAGATGATGCTTTAAAGGAAAAAGCTTTAGAAGATGGCAAGGCTGGTAATATAGAAGCCGAAGTACAAGACCAGTTGCAAGCAGCAATGGCCAAGCCAGTTATCGATGAATTGGTAAGATTTTGGTGAAAATAAAGTGCATTATCGATCGATTCATTACATTTAAACAAAATTTAAATAGAATTCTAAATATTTATTTATTTTACAAGCAATTTAATAATTTTTTTTTTTTTTTTTTTTTTTTTATATATATAAACATTTTACTTATTAGTAAAAAAAATCAATTATTCCGTATAGTAACTTAAAATATATTTAATTACAGGATATCAGTAATCTTGCTCCTCGAAAGCCTGATTGGGATCTCAAACGAGATGTTGCAAAAAAACTTGAAAAACTTGAGAGAAGAACCCAAAAGTCTATTGCCGAGCTGATAATTAGTAGATTAAAAAAAGAAAAAGATCTGGCAACAATCGTTAATGTTGGAAGCAACTACATGTCTAAAAATTAATGTAAATACTAGGGAACGTATAAATATAAATATTAATTGTAACTTTTACAACTTCAGTTTTTACCGTCATAGATTAAATATATCTGTATGCTAATTGTAATGATTTCAATTTTTCTTCAACAAAATTTATGATACACAAATTTTCACTACCTTCTATTTCTATCTTAAATGTAATTTATAAGAAAAAAATACTGTTGTTGATTTTACTATTATTCATATCTTAACTTATATATATTACAATGAATTTTTTTGTTTTGTTTTTTTTTTTTTAATTGTACACATTCAAAAAACAAGTGTATAAATTTTATAAGCTAATTAAATTTATATTGGATTGTAATTACACAATAAGAATAAAACAATATGAAAATTAATGTAATCAAATTTAACATTCGATTACAAATAACGTCTTCCAAGATTAAAATGTATTAGATATCTTGTGGTAAGAATAAGTATTAGTTTCTTGATGTCAATGATTAAATAATAATAATTCTGCGCATGCTTTATCAACAAAAAAAATTTTCTTTTGTCAAACAATACAGTATAAAATCTTGGATGACTTTATTTTTTAACACAATATAAGCAGTTACGTACATAAAACATTTCTTCCGTATAAAAAATTGCACGTTGCTGCCAATCACAATTTTTTATTTTGTCACACATTGATTTACCATTCTTTACTCACTATTTTTATTTTTTTTATTTTTATTTTTTTTTACAACACTTAACTTTTCGTTTCAAATAAATAATTTTTTGTGCACTCGTGATTTTGTAAAAAAATATTGAAATTAACGATTTATTTCACTGAAATGATCAAGAATATTTAAATTTATTCGAATATGTAAAAGATGACGCCTCAAAGTCAAACTCTAAAATTTTTGCAATGAATCTCGGTTGAAAAATTATAATTTTATTACCGTGAAATAATTGTTTTATATTATTATTAGGAACTATTAGTACACGTAACTCAGCTTTAAAAATGATTTTAAAATCTAAGTTGCCAATCACATCAAAACAAAACTTGTTTCATCATTTCCATCTACAAAAACAAATATATTGCAATAAGATTTTTCGCTGCGTGCTACACGAGTTTCATCAGACTGCCTTAAAAAAACTTTCCAATCCGAGTAAACCATCTGCACAGTGCCACTCGTGCAGTGAAATCCCTACGAACGTCATTCTCAAATCCTCAATAAATATCCTCGTATGTATTTGCACAGTATTGATTCTCATTGATTTAGTTTCATTGACAGCAAGCACACATCTACTGAGAGCGGCTGCTTTCTCGTAAGGGATCCTGTCATCTTCCTTCGGTATTCGCGTCTCACGTCATCTCGGATCTACTTTCAGCCTCGCGAGGCCTTCCGTCCATTACAAAGGAGTTAACGCTGCTTCCGGCCTTGAAGCTAACAATCTTTTGTTCTGACATTTTTGACGTATTTCTCAAATCCAAATGCTTCAAGGCCTGACATTTGAGCAAATGGTCAAGACTGAGCTCCGTTAAAAGTCGACAGCCGGCCAAATTCAAGGAAATGAGACTGGTGATGGTGACTGCGGGAGGCGACGTCAGTTGCGCCACGCCTGCGTCAGTTATCCTCGTGCACGAGGATAAGTTGAGGGTTTCGATGTAAGGGAGGTGCTGGGCAATGTACCGAAGCGCCACGTCCGATATGTCGCAACCACTGAGGGACAACTTTCGCAAGTATTTTAGTCTCGACGTTTTATCAATCAACCCTGGTTGAGAGTCATTTGGAGGACTGAGTATCTCTCTAAGACTCAGATCGTTTAATCCTGGAACGATTAATAGTTTATTTTTATTTTTATTTTTATTTTTATTTTTATTGTTATTTTTTTTTTAATTCCATTCACACAAACTCTAATTTCTATAAACTTTCAATTCTCATTATACATTGTTAGCAATTAAAGTAGCTGAATTAAATTCTCCTTGAATAATATTGATTAATTATTCTGTAATTTTGAAAAGGGTAATAAGTATATTTGTTTGTTTAACCAATAAAGTACGAAACTTTCAATTCTCATTATACATTGTTAGCAATTAAAGTAGCTGAATTAAATTCTCCTTGAATAATATTGATTAATTATTCTGTAATTTTGAAAAGGGTAATAAGTATATTTGTTTGTTTAACCAATAAAGTACGAATGATAATAATCAATGAAAGATGAAAAAAAAAAAAAAAAAAAAAAGAAAAAAAGTTAAATAATTTGAATGTATTTGGCAATTACCTGTGACAAAACTTAAATCGAGTGTCACTAACGCTGGACAAGAGTATGTATTCAAAGCGCAAACTCCAGCCCAATTGCATCCTTTAAGCGATAAATTTCGAAGTTGAGGTAACCGATTGAGAAGCCAAGCCAACTGCCTTTTAACTATATTAGTCCAATCTAATATGAGACTTTCTGGCTGTCGTTGAATAATTCCCGACAAATGAGAAGCTGATAGAATACTATGGGACAAATCGATTGTTCGCCATAAATTTGGATCAAGGCTGTATCGAGCCCAAATCCTACATACACAGGCGCAAGTCGCCAGTTCCTTTGGAGATAAGTATTTGAATACGGACAGAATAGCCGTTTTATTATAAACGTATGGCTGTTCGTGAGAATCATTTGATCGATGAATGGGTGCAGCTTGAACAGGACGCATAACCATGAATTGTCTTTTTGTATTATTAGTAGTTTTATTAGCTACTTGAGCTCCAAATTGATTTTGGGAAATTGATTTTTGATGGCCTTCTGCAACCTCTTGATCATTCCATCTCTAGAATTAACATTTCTTATTAATGCTAAAGAATATAAATATACATACACATATGCAGGTACACCAAACTATATATTATACAGCACCAATGAGAACATTTAAAATTGATTTTTACGCACTTGTAATAAAATAACAATCTCTTATAATTTTTTCATGAATTATTTAGTAAATTTAATAGTCTCTTTTATACAACAGTTAATTATTTAGATTAATTCAGTACCTCACTTATTTCGGGTTTAAGTTTTTTACTTGGCGTCATAGCTTTTTCAGAATCATCAGCATGAACCGCCGATGCGACATTTGTCAATGAGATTTTTCTCAATCTTGCTTTGGGTAGCCTTGGTTTAACGTCTAAATTTCTTCCACTTTCACAGCACTCGGGACACTCCCAACTGTTTGGCAAATCATCACTCACCACAATGCCTTGGACATTGCGTCCGGTACACAACGGATGTACGATATCATAACATATCGAACACTCCATTAAAGTAGAGGCTACCACCGATGGCTGCTTTCCCATTAAAGGTGCCGGTGGTTGTCCCCAGCCATCCAAGCTACAGAACTTACACGAAGCAGTTACTGGAAGCATTGGTCTTAGGCATTGTCGCATCATGCACGTTTGCTTGGCTCGTCCTGAGCCACCAAACTTGACCATATCATGACAATAAGCACATTCTCCACAATCCGTCCGCGTGCAAGCTTCACATTTTTTACATCGAGTCCTTCGCCTACGTGGAAATGCAGACTTCACGTCGGATTTCTCGTGCAACGGCGGTCGAACGATTTTCTTTCTCACTATGCCCAGCTTCTCCCTTTCAGCAAGCGTCAATGCTGGAGGTGCAGGTAGAACTGGATTTCCAGTTATGGCCAAGTCAGGTTTATCGTGCCTGTGCTGCTCGACGAGGCAACGCACATCATGAATTAACGCTACTGGATCCCTAATTAATTCTGGTACATTTTTCTTTGTCGACGGAAGAGAATGTAAATACATGACAATAGATTTTAGTCCGTGAAGTTCAAGCGGAGTCAGATGAATGTGTTTCAAATTTTGAGGAACGACATGTTGACTCTGTATTTCAGTAATGTCCAAATGACTGCGACCCAAAAGAACGTGTACGTATCTCTCAAGAACGTACCTATAAAATGAATTGGTCAGTTTTAATTGTTATAACAATATTTGGTAAACGAAAGAATCTTATTAATAGGAACAAGAATGAATAATACATAACACGAGGTAAATTTCATATAAATATATATCAAATTTAAAGATTTGAAGTTTCTTTCGCACTTACCAAAGCATTTCGGTGAAAAATGGATACCGAAATTTATGAGGTACTTTTGTTTGTTCTTCTACTTGAGCTACTCTTAGTTGCTTGTCAATTCCAAAACTATGCAAAAAATTACCACCAAAGACAAGTGAATCCTGGGGTGTATAAACTGCATGTATCCAGCCGGTAGGGATAAATAGGGTCATTCCAGCATGCAATGATATCCTACCACAACGATCTACCATATCCCCGAAGAATACATCAGATTGTTTACCACTTAAAACCCACTCTTGATATAATGACAAATTTTTGTCAGACGGAGGAATAAGCCAAAAGATTTTTCCACCTTTGAGAATGTGGTACCAAACGCTCGTACCACCAAAATCAACGTGAAAATCAGTATAGCATCCTTTTACCGACATAAGACAATATTTTTGCACTTTTGGATACATCATATCTTCGAGTAAATTAGTCGCTTCGACTTGACTTTCTTTTAAATGTTTTGGCCATACTACGTCCACCCAATCTATTTGCCTAACGAGCGTTGGTGACTGTACATAATGTTCTAATTTTGTGTGACTGAATTCTAGTGAGATTACATTTAATAGTCGATCTTTGTTTTGATCCTCGTAATATTTTTGCCACTCTTTCATTGTCATGTCCTCATTTTTCTGAGTATTAACGTCCATAACATCGAGAATCCTCTTGGAACCTGCATACGTTACATTAATATAGTTATATTTAATAAAAAGTTAAGTACGAAACATCGATATTAAATATTTACCAACGCATGTTCTAACATCATTCACGGAGAAATTTGTACTGGGTACTCTCAAGCCAAGTCCAGTTTTCTCTTTAATTAAAAGAGGCATACCAAGTCCATGCTTCTGTAAGTATGCTATATTGAGTTCGGCACCATTCATTTCACGAAAAAATCCATTGAAATTCTTAAGATTATATTTTTCACTTTCAATCTTTTCTTCCAATTGAAAGCCTCTTCGGCCTTCAAAATCTTCATCTCCAAATGTCCAATCATCGGTATAAAATTTTCTCGTTCTTTCTCTCTGAATAAGAAATAAAATTGATGGTCATATCGTGTATGGGTTTGCGTATGCTTATACACACACACACACGCACGCACGCACGCACACGCGCACACATCGAATTAATAAAAATTGCTTTGGATAAAAATATAATTTTCTTGAAAGTTATATTACTTGTTACAAAAAAGTTTTTACCTATGATTATTTTTTATAAATATTTATTTGAAATATTTAATATAACTTATACTTAAATAAAATATTCTCTTTATTAATAAATCTGCAACTTCATTAAACAATTGACAGAAAATTTATATTAAAGAAGAACTTAATTCTTTAATTAATTACAACTTTTTTCATAATATTTCTCACTTAATTTTTCCAATTTGAAAAAGTAGTACAGTAATGAAACAATAAAAGCTCATAAATACATGTTTCGCTCAACAATCACAATAAATTGGATAAATTAATGCATAGATTTATATTTTTATTGTAAAAATGTAAATTCATCGCTTAATGTATTACTCTCATAAGTCCATAACCATAGAATGTATTATAGAAACAAATATTTATATTAGGCCATGTGGTTTATTTTACTTATTTATAATTTAAAAAATAAAACAGGAAGAAAAAAAAAATGACCCACCAATGTGCATCTGAATATGTAGCAATTTACCAAAATATAAATTTTAGGCGTATCAATGTATCTTACTTAAGAATTGAAAATCTTTATTCCATTTTGAGATAGAATTTGTACATGATTAGATTCTTATATGAGAAAGAGATTTTTTAATAAAAAATATTAACACAATGCCTTTCTCATTAAGTATACATGCAATATAATACTCAAAAGGAGAAAGATTGTGATATGTAAATGCACACGAACATATATATATATATATATATATATATATATATATATACATCCTGTGTATATGCATGCAAGTTAATATGCATGTGCGAATTTTGAAAATGCATGGGAAAATTTTAAACAATTTTTCGATCCACATATAATTGCAGCATATATTATTAGCACATGCATTAAAAACAATGGAAGTATGGATAAATGAAATAATTCCAAACTACTGCATTAAATGTGGTAGTATTATTATGTATAAACATGCGATTAACCGCTAAGTGAATTTAATAGCCGAGCATGCTTTACCATCGATAAATAATATAAATACTGAATCGACAAGTTTTGAAAGATCGCTAGCAAGACAATGGAAAAGTGTGCAAAAGAAAACACGCCCAAGAACAATAAAAGCCGCCGTGTAGAATTGAAAGCGCACGTAGCACGAGTGAAATGGAAGGGAAAGAAAAAAGAATGTTGAATGGCCAATGCTAATAATCTAGCGAGGAATGAGCAGCCTTGGGAGAAAGAGGCGAGAGAGCGTCGGCAAAGAATAAAAGCACATAACCGAATTGAAATGATGAGAGCAGAGAGTAGTTGTAGCATTGTAAAAAGCGGCCACGCTCGGCAGCCTCCAACCCCCCTGTGTTCTCGGAAAACTCGAAGGGTCTGGATTGGAGGCCGCGAGGAGGCTAAGCCCAAGCCCCCGTGCAGAATAAGTGACTCGTTCTCGAGAACGCACGTCCGCGTCTAATATCACGGGATTTGTTTACCAATTGTCGCTTCTGCGGCTGTGGGACCGTAGCTGCCTCGTCGGCCATTGCGGACACGCCGTCGCGGGCGTATTACCGGACACACATCGATCTACGAGCGCTGCTCCCGCTCCCGCTGCTGCTCCTCTCGCTGCCGCACGCAGCCTCTGCCTCTCTCTACGCCAGCACCGCTATCTATCCACTCTCCAGTCGGCGTTTGTCGGGACTCCCGCCACCGCGCGCGCCGCCACCACCGCCGCCGTCAACACCGACAACAACGTCAACACCGTCGCCGTCGCCTTTCCCGTCGCCTTTCCCGTCGTCCTCGTCGTCCTAGTCGTGCTCGTCTTCGTCGTCGCTGTCGCTGTCGCTGTCGTCGCTGTCGTCGCTGTCGCTGTCGCTGTCGCTGTCGTCGTCGTCGTCGTGGTCGTCGTCGCCGTCGCCGTCGCCGTCGCGGTCGTGGTCGTGGTCGTGGTCGTGGTCGT